TGAAGTCGACTTTTTTCGGTTTTTTTTTTTTTTCCTTCTCATTTTTTTTTTACTCGGTCAGTAAACGAATACAATTTTGTTTTTGGAATAATCATGTGTATCTTCTTCTTTTTTTTTTCTTTTTTTTTTGAACGACGTCTGAGATCATCTCTTTTTTTTTCCTTTTTTTTTTTTTTCAAGGCTCTATAAGCATGCGGCGAACCCCGTAACAGAACCATGTTCACAAGAAAAAATACGGGAGCTGCTCCCGATCTGCAGGTGAGCGATACCAGCCACTGGACAGCCCGTAGCATCAGGAACCGTGCCAACAGGACCTCCCCCTACAAACATCGGCAGAATTGAATGCCACTTGCGATCTTTACGAACTGAGTTAGGTCGCTTATATCTTCTTTTTTTTTCCTTTCTTTTTTTTTTTTTTGAATGACATCTGAAAAATAACTCGGGAAGGGAGGGGGAAGGGACCAAATTTTTGTTCCCGTTTTTTTTTTCGCTCGCTTATTATTTTATTTTATTTTTTCTTGCCGATTTTATTCGTGCGGTGTATCTTCCATGTTATCAATAGCAGTTCCTAAAGGAATTTGGATTGAAGTAAGTTTCTATCTATATCTTCTTTTTTTTTTTCAATGACATCCGAAAAACAACTCGGGAGGGGAGGGGGAAAGCACCAAATTTTTTTTCCCGTTTTTTTTTGCTTGCTTATTATTATTATTATTATTATTATTATTTGACGATTTTATTTGTGCTGTGTCTCTCTTTTTTTCATTACGTCCATTTTAATTTATTTCTACTCTATATTTACCCTGTTTACCCAAATAAAGAGAGGTTTTTTTTTTTTTCATTCTTTTGGCAATTTGCATGCTCAGAATCTTTGAAGAAAATCGCAGTTAGCTTACACTCTATATTTTCCCTTTGCGCCCGAATTAAAAAAAGAATGTATGAAGAAAGTGGTTAAACTAACTATTCATTCTCATTTCTGTTTTTGTGTTCTCCTCCCTATTGCTTTCTACTTTCCAAGTTTCTACACACCGATATTTTGTGCTTTCTTCTGCCTATTCCTCCCTGCTGCAAGGAAGATGAGCAATAGCGAACTTCAGCAATCAAACAGCATAATACATACGAGTCCAGAGTCGTGACCTCGAACCAACAGCAGAATTGCATCACGAGATACACCAAATAAGAACACACCAAGAGTTCATAATTGACAATGCTGAAATAGTCCCATCATCATCATCAACAAAGAACCAGAGTTGATATCCTATCTGGCGCTCGGCGCCCAGACTACATGTGGCAGATCCTATCTAGCCTATACTACAATGCCGAAGTTGACGACAACAGCTCTTCCGAAGTACGAGCATACAGCGACCAATGTCGCTCGCTTCCAGCACCAGGTATGTCTCTCGCCTTACTCACAACCTCGTTCCCCAACACAGATGCCACTTGCACCCAAGGACCACCCTGCGCCACACCCAGCTCACAGCAGCGCAGCTCGACTATGGCTGCCTGTTCCTTCCCTGCTCGCCCGTGAGCGCGTAGGCGCCAGCCAGCAAATAGCGCAGCAGCGACTGCGCAGCATGCAGCCAGCACCCGATTGCCGAATGAGGAGGCAGGCCCTTTGCTATATCAAAGTGCCCTGCCTGCGTCCAGTCCCAGGAAGCCTCCAGTAGGCCCCGGTAGCCTGAGGCCCAGTACGATCGAGAACAGGCCTGGGGCCTGCGGTAGTTCCATGTGCCAAACTGCCTTTGGCATGTGTGTGGCCCAGTACCCGTATCCAGCCCAGGGCCTGCTTTCCATTCATTCAGACAAGCGGCCCAGGGCCTGGGTTTCCTCAACCAACTGGCACTGCGCAACTGCCTGAATTTCCTTAGTTGCGCAGAGGCAGAAAGAAGGCTCTGAAGGCGTCGTCAAGCCTGCCTTCACTTAGGGCGGCCGACGGGCTGTAAGAGAGGGGCCGAAAGGGCTCATAGAGGCAGTGGCCTCGCACTGCTCTCTACACGCCGATTTCGTATGTTCTGTCCTCTCTCCTCCCCAACATTAGCCGAAACTTCTCGTGCTGCCATAGAAAGAGCACGATCTACAGCAAGAGAACGACAGAGACGTTTCAGACAAAGACACATTGAGACTATCCAGCCACGGATCAGCAATGCACGCGTTCACACATCTACCTTATTCGCGCGACAACTTTCAGTCGATATAATTGATCTTCGAAATAGGACGCCTTGCACACACTGTGAAGCAGAAAAATGGCCTCACGAACACCCGTGGACATCACTCTGTTGCCTGAGTGGCAAAATACAACCACCACTCTGGACATATCCCGACGTGATGACACCTGCTGCCCGCGTTTTGCATCTATGGGAAAAAGATAGCAGACATGGTAGATTGTTTCGATCACGCGCACGCCAATTCAATACTGCGCTTGCCCTTGCGTCCCAATCCGTTAAAACCCAAATGCCTGCTGGACTCTGGCCGGGTATAATGAGAATAGAAGGCCGGCTTCAACAACACATCGGTCCACTACTCCCAAATGAGAATCAACAGCCATCCTTTGCCCAGATATACATACACGATCCACTGGATGGCAATAACGCGACCCTCTTGCGTTTACAAAGACTTGACCTGCCACAGGACACCCCGCTTGCCACGGTCCAAGCCATCAAATCTCTCCTACGAACTCTTCATTCTTTGCTTTGTCAATGCAACCGATAGGTTCAAGATTTCATTACCCTGTCCGAATTCCCAGAACACGCGCTAGAAAATGTCCATGTTGTCATCAATTCGGATGCACGCCCGTTACAAGAGCATGCTCGAAGATACAATAGGCCAGAAGGGCTCCAAGAGCTCTGTGTTCTAATGCATGACGAACCTGTTAATCGCAAAATTGTAATCCACCGACGTGCCGGTGGAGTTTTACCGGTTCCAAAAACAAACCGAGCATTTGATCTGCTACATTATACCCTACTTTTTCCTTCAGGCAAAGATGGATGGGCAGCTGAACAGGATGAACAAGCGGATCCTTATATTCATAATATCACTTCACGAGAATTCTACGCATTTCATCTTAATACACGCCGTACAGAAAGAACCACGATTTTTCGTGCTTCACGTCTTTTTCAAGAGTACGTTTGTATGGCGTTTGCTAAAATTGAGAATGCCCGCCTTCTATACAATCGCTTCCACCAAGCGGAGATCCGGGCAGGTCTTTATCAAAACCTCCATGACCACGTTATGTTATACAACAATGCGGAATTTGGCCAGCGAATTATTCTTCCCACATCATTCACAGGTAGTCCGCACGACATGCATCGACGATATCAAGATGCAATGGCTGTTGTTCAAGAATTGGGTGCTCCCGATCTTTTCATCACAATAACCTATAATCCGCATTGGCCTGAAATTGAAATCCGGGCAGGTCTTTATCAAAACCTCCATGACCACGTTATGTTATACAACAATGCGGAATTTGGCCAGCGAATTATTCTTCCCACATCATTCACAGGTAGTCCGCACGACATGCATCGACGATTTGCTTGCGCGTGTCTTCAAAGGATACCTACAACAACTCATTCATGACATCCACTCGAGTCACGTCTTTGGAATTACTGCGTATGTCTACACTATCGAGTTTCAAAAGCGTGGCTTACCGCATGCTCATCTTATTGTGATTCTTAAAGACGATGCTAAAATCTCTACACCCCAACAGATCGATACTATTGTCTGCGCTGAGATCCCCGAAAATCCGCAACTGCGCGAGCTCGTCTTATCTCATATGATACACAATCCGTGTGGAATTATACAATCCTACCGCATCATGCATGCACAATGACCGATGCACACGATTCTTCCACAAAGCGTTTTGTCTTGCCCATCAATCTCCGCTCTTTTCGCCGCGGACGGAGCCGCGGCGGGTCCACTTGTTATATATATATATATGGTCCATATCTCGATTAAAGCATGTCATCCTCGTGCAGCGGCCTTGTTAATCTTCTCTGTATCGGTCCAATTTCAATGTTGAACGGAAGTCTCAAAGGATCTCTCTCTCTCTCTCTCTCTCTCTCTCTCATCTTCCTCCTCACACCATCGTCTCACCTCTCTCCATCCACATATCACCCTCCTCCCAACTTCTTCCTCCGCTTCCCACCATCCCACCTTCGGCCTTTCTCCAATCTCTCGCCATCATCTCTCTCTCTCTCTCTCTCTCTCTCTCTCTCTCTCTCTCTCTCTCTCTCTCCCCTTTTTTTTTTTTTTTTAATATATGGTCCATATCTCGATTGAAGAGTGTCATCCCTCTGCAGCGGCCTTGTTAATCTTCTAACATCTTCCTCCTCACACCAACGTCTCACCTCCCTCCATCCACCATTCTCCCTCCTCCCGTTTTCTTCCTCCGCTTCCCACCATCCCACCTTCAACCTTTCTCCCATCTCTCGCCATCATCTTTCCACCATCTCTACTTCTCTCTCTCACTCTTCCCGCCATCTCTACTTTTCTCTCTCACTCTTCCTGCCATCTCTCTCTCTCTCTCCCATTTTTTTTTAATAAATATGGTCCATATCTCGAATGAAGTGTGTCATCGTCGTGCAGGGGCCTTGTTAATCTTCTCTGTGTCGTTCCGATTTCAATTTTGAAAGGAAGTCTCAAAGGACCTCTCTCTCTCTCTCTCTCTCTCTCTCTCTCTCTCTCTCTCTTTGTTGGACAAGTGTGACATTTTTTTTCTTCTGCCTTTTCAATTATGGGCCTGCGGTTGCTGGCAGTACTTTGATTTGGTGCTTTGATCGAAGGCATTGTTTGGACTGGGGGTTGAGGGGGGGGCGGCGGGAAGGAGGGTTCGAGGGGCGGATGCTGTTTCCTTTGAAAAGTGTTGAAGAGGGGCTGACGCCTGGGCTGTTTGTGGATTGTGTGTGTGCAGGTGAAGCTGTCGATGGCGCTGGCGAAGCAGATCTTGCAGTGTGTGCGTGTGTTCTCCAACGAAACATTAAAAAAAAAAAAGCAATCCCTGCAGAGAGAGAGAGAGAGAGAGTGTGTGTGTGTGTGTGTGTGTGTGTGTGTGTGTGTGTGTTCCAATGCAACATAAAAATAAAAAATAAAAAATAAAAAATATATGATGTGCGCACCTGGCGCATATGCGGCCCGCCATCGCACACCCACGAGCAGCGCACCGGCCCTGTGCGCTGCACACCGCGCATCGCGCAGCCAGGTGCGCGCGCACCTCGGGTCCGCGCACTGTGCGCTGCGCAGCGCACCGCGCAGCGCACAGGACCGATGTGCCGCAAGTATGGTATTTCCCTCTTAATTTTGAAGTCATTCCGTTCAGCCCTAAAAAAATGAAAAATCCTCAAAGATGGTGGTGTCAAAACTTGCTTGCCCACTCACTAATTTGTTTTTTCTCTCTTTTCCCTTTTTGTTTTCCCTTTATTTCGGGGCATGAAAAAAATTATTATTTTTTCAAACTTTATTTGTATATTCTCTATTATGTAAGATACACATACATAAATTTTCATGGCATTTTTCACAGCCAAAAAAAAATGAAAAATCGCCAAAGATGGCGGTGTCAAAAGCGTGCTCGCCCACTCAATAATTTCATTCTCGTTTTACTTTTTCTAGTTTTCATTATTATTATTTATTTTTAGTATTTGATTTTTATTTCAAATTTGGTAAAGAATTTGGATGTAACGTTGAGGCAAATGTTGTTTAGTTTATTCTTCTGCATAACATATATATCGTCACAATATTTCAGTTTTTTTTTTTTTTTTTTTTTTGGGTCCGCGTCGCGTCGAACGGCCGAACGCGTCGAGAGGGGGTGCCGAACGTTCGGGCGTTCGGGTTCGGGCGTTCGGCCCGTCCCGAACGCCGGCAACCCTGATGACAACGATATTTCATAGGCTCACAATGTACATCCAGTTACCATGGAGTTGTTGGAAGCTTGGGCAGCAAGAGGTGAGGTAGGAAGAAGACAAGCAGCACTAGAAGGAAAGGGGAATCAAAGAGGTGAAAGAGAGGAGTAGCTACATGTTGTCATAGTAATGATCACAGCAAATCTCAGAGGAGGGGGAAGACGAGCAGGGGAGGAAGAAGAGGGATAAGGAGTGGAGGGGGAGGGGGAGTAGGTCACAAACAGTTTGGCTGAGTACTTGGGGTCAGCGGACCTCCAATTCAAAGAATGTAGCAGACTGTTTCGCCGGACTTGCACCGACTCATCAGGAGGTTGAACCTCGACAATCTGACAAAAATATGCAGACTGAGAACGATGGGCTTTGCCCAAGGCCCTAGCTGCGGCTGGGCACCAGTCACTGCACCATCTGAAGCTGGCATGCCTATATTACATAGAAGTTATCTGACTGTCATTTACATTTGAGCCTTGCAAGATGCACTTTAAAGTTTGTACACATCTATATATCGTGTACCAATCCACAGGATAACACCATCTACTGACCGCAAGCATCACACATGTACTACGTTCTTAACTTCTTATTGACAACTGATTTAACAACTCGATGTCCACAGTAGTATCTGATAAACATTATGTCTGTGTCAAACACCTCTGCATCAGACTCCATAGAATACTGGGGAGAGAGAGACTCACACACACACACACACAGAGAGAGAGAGAGAGAGAGAGAGAGAGAGAGAGAGAGAGAAGGAAAAGAGATTAACTGTGAGCAGACCTCATTATTTAACAGCGGAACAGGAGGGTACTAGCTTCTCCTCTGGAAAGGCCGCAGGTTAAGCTAGGTGTTCACAAAGGGCAACGGCCGCCTGAAGATTGTAAGATCATGCAATGGGCCTGTAAGATCATGCAATGGGCCTCTCAGCTATAATGGGAAGGAGCATGGAGGGGAGCCATCATTGTAACCTCTGACTTGCCATAGGTGGGGACAGAGAAATGAAACCCACAGAAGGAGGCAATCTTGGAAAGATGCAGAGCACATTCAAGCACGACAAAAGAGAAGAAGAGACTGTGGAAACGCAAGATTGCGACCCACAAAGGACCCAAACAGAGCACGAGAGAACATGATCGTCAACCGCAGAACAGAAGAAGAGACTAAGTGAGAATGCCCGGAATCGACCGAACAAGGAGGGAAAGGGGAGACATAAGAATGCAGCATTCAAACCAATGATAAGAAAAGAGAAAGTGAGAGGAAAAAGATATAATATGAGCGATTGCAAAGCAGAGCAACCTGCCAAGGACAGGAAGAGATAAAGTCAGAGCACGTTAAACTGTCAGTACCTCGCTCAGGCAACTTGAGAATCGAAATTGACTCAATCTTAAGTTTTCGGATTGACAGTGCTACCCGCCAAGGACAGGATGAGCGGCAGCCGTCCGGCAGCGGCGCCAGCCAAGAAAGAAAAAAGTGTGCCCCTGGTGGTTCGTTTTTTCTTTGGCGCGCAGTGCAAATCCATGTGGGGAAAGAGAGGCACGGAGCTACTGATCCTTTAATGAGGAAGCGCAGAGATCCACTGCATACCATGATGGTCAACAGGAAATCACTCCTACACCCACAAATTCAGCCACTGAGATCTGACTCTAATGTGCAGAAGAATCCGGAGGGATGAAACAAAGCTGACCCAGCTTCAGTCCAAATCCGGAGGCATGAAACAAAACTGACAAGGCTAAGGTTTCGAGAGGCGAGGGTACTCAACATGAGCACACAGTTTTCACATACCCAGGCAGGAAAGAGACCGGGCTAGAGTGCATAGTGCATGGAAATCAGGAATGCCTTGTTCTTTGTGTGCACTGTGAGGGAGCAAACCAGCTTCAGATGATACACAAAGAAAGGGAACTGGTAATCCCTCCGTGAGCACTCTCTGAGAACAGACCAGGCACAATACACTCGATATCGGCGGGAGACCCATTGAAAGGAGACTGGTAATCCCTCCTTGAGCACTCTCTGGGAACAGACCAGGCACAATACACTTGATATCGGCAGGATACCCATTGTTATGCTCATAGAGGTGGAGAACCTGTCATGACCAATGGAGGTCTGTGAACCTGTTCAGTGATGGTGACAACCTGCCATACAGACAGAGACCATGGCCTGAATGATCTGAAAAGGCTGTGTACGAGCTCAGGTGTGAACAAAAACCAGGAGGCTGGTGAACTGACGGAAAGAGGATGTGGTCGATTTGCATTACAGGATCAAGTTCGAGCAGCAAGAGGAGGATCCCTTAGAGACTATGAAAAAAAGTAGATAGACGATATGGGAACAGTTTCAACAAGTCCATCGGCAATCAATTTGTCTCGTAAAAAAAATTAAAACAAATATCTTTGTCGAATTGAATTCAATCATGTAAAGCGATTATTTTGGGATATCTTCTGGGAGACGGTTCACTCAAAATAGTCAATAAATAATGCAAGAGATCAGGTTCTCCTTGGCAACTCCAGACTAAGGAAAAACTATGGGACACTTGTTGGCGCAGGAAGCATCGACAGTTTGACACGTAAGTAGGTGTGCTTAGACAGGCTTTTGCAGCTGGAAGAAAAAACTACAAAAGCAGAGAAAGGCCAGTTACTCCGGTGCTAAGCAGAGAGAGAGAGTGGCAGATTTGAACAGGCAACTATCATTCCTCTACGTCACAAACTGCATGTGTGTGTTGTTGCTAGCCCAATTGTTTGCTGCCTTGCTGCTTGTAAGCTGTATATGGATACTCAACAGGGTTGCATACCTGCCAACCGCCAACCCCGACCGCCGACCGTATTGCAGCCGACCAGTAGGGCCAACCGATCGGCTGTCTGCCAACCATTCAGAAAACAACCATCCACTGATTTTTTTTCAAATCTGAGTTGGGGGCTGTACTGTGCTTGCTGAGTACAGCCCAAATCTGCTGAGAAACTTTTGGGTATGGGGGGGG